ATATTATGATTCCGATTCTGCTCGTTTTAGACAAAGCAACCCTGACCTATTGCTCATTCAGCTCGAGGCGTATCACGACTGTGCAGTTTACTGTAAAACAATTCAGAACAACACCGGCACCACCAAATCAGTCCCTGCCACCCGAACTCAGACACTGCTCATTATTACTACCGGAGTGCACCGTTCACACCCGGTCGAATTTGTACAGGTGGCCTGCCCTGCTCCAGTACGACATACGCCAGACCACGATTTCCTTGGGTTAATGGTTAATGCTGAGGTCAAAGGATGCTGTTTGTCTCGTCTCGTGGACTTCAGACATAAGCCACTAAGTCGTATGAGTCTGCATCCTCGATGGTGTATTATTGCTACTCAACGACGCCTCTGTGTAACGGCACATCTTTTGAACTGTGCGTGTTGCGGTTTTGTTTTTCGAAACATTCAAGCATGGATTCGCTCATCGGTGCAAGTCCACATCGTCGACTTCGCGGAGAGGGGGGGCCACCATCCTCCCCCTCTTCCCTCTCCTCCACCTCGTCGCCTCGCACGCTGCGAGGTGCACCGCCTCGAACAGACTGGGACTGCTCGAGATGAAACCAGTGCCGGATTATCCTCGTAGCAATAGCAGCTACAAATGCTAGGGGCCCCGCACTTTAAATGGCCCCGCGCTAAATGCTTTCAAGCTATCAACTCCGGTTCAGTGATTCTGCACTTGCTCTATTACTATAGGACTATACTGCCTTCAACTTTTATGAACGACTGGGTGTTTAAGGTGAGCCATTTGTCGTATTATCTGTCTCTATAGCTAATGAAAAAATACAATTACTTTACTATGCAAGTAAAACATTTGTGTGTTTTAATATTTATGTTTCTTTTATTTATGGCCCCTTTATAACATGTGCTCCAGGCTCCGCACTAGCCACTCGTGCACCCGCAGCAGCCGTGCCACCACCACCACCACGGGCTATCACAGCGCGCTCACCGCTGTGCCCCCCCACCCCACCCCCCGCTCACACTCCTGACACGCAGCACGCCAACAAACACTGCGCCAGCCACAGTGTGACGACTCCCGTCTTTCTAACAACAGATTTTAATCTAGCATTGCTCTCGAAGCAGTGAGGTGCGATGGTTGGCTGGGGCGGCCCGGGAGCGTGCAAGCTGGGGAAGAGCCCTTGCTGCCACTGTCTCGGCCCGACGTACTCACTCGTTCTCCGTACCGGACGTTCATGGCCGGCGGACAGACAGATGGATGGACGGACAGATGGATAGATAGATGGACGGACAGACAGATGGATGGACGGACAGATGGATAGATGGATGGACGGACAGATGGATAGATGGATGGACGGACAGACAGATGGATGGACGGACAGATGGATAGATGGATGGACGGACAGATGGATAGATGGATGGACGGACAGATGGATAGATGGATGGACGGACAGATGGATAGATGGATGGACGGACAGACAGACGGATGGATGAACAGACAGACGGACGGACAGACGGACAGACAAATGGATGGACGGACGGACGAATGTACAGATGTACAGATGGACATACGCATGGACGGATGGACGTTACAGTCAACCACAACATCCTGCTTAGTAAACTAAGTTGCCTCGGTTTCTCCAAACACGCAGTAAAATGGTTAAAAATGTACCTCTTTTCTCGCACCCAAACTGTATTCACAGATGGTTGGAGGTCAAACTGTTAAGATAACAAAAGGGGTTCCACAGGGTTCCATCCTCGGCCCCCTCTTGTTCTCTCTTTATGTAAATGACTTTGGCACTGACATGGTTCATTCCAGGGTAAATCTTTTTGCAGATGACACGATACTGTTCACTGCTGGCCGCTCTCCGGATGACGTGATTGCTAAGCTCCAGGGTGATTTCAACAAACTACAACATCAACTAGTTGCTCTTAAACTAGTCCTGAATACCTCCCAAACCAAGGTGCTATGCTTATCACCAGGACGAAAGCAGGAAGTTATTTTCCCCTAATTACATTCCTTAAATAATTATCAAATAGAGCAAGTCAAGATCTATAAGTATCTTGGGGTCATCCTGGATTTGAAACTGAATTTTGAAGATTACATTGATTATACAGTATTGGTAAAAAGACAAAAATAAAAATTGTTTTTTTTGTATCGACAGAAGCACTGCTTCCCCCTATGTTCCGTTTGGAATTGATAAAAGCTACCATACTGCCTCTACTTGATTTCTGTGACATCGTATATAAATCAGCCCCAAGTACTGTACTGAAGAAGCTTGACTCAATGTATCACTCGGCCTTAAGATTTGCATTGAACTGCCCATATAGGACTCACCACTGTGATCTCTACATTGGGTCAAACTTAACATCTCTTAATGTTCGACGGCTTGTGCACCAGATCTTATTTATTCACGATGTACTTACAAAAAACTCCGCAGAATACCTGCTGGATCTCCTCTCTGTTTCGAAGAACAAATGTGACCTAAGGTCTTTGCTCATTTACCAGCTTAACATTCCTTATTGCCGTACAAATACTGGAGGAAGGGCCTTTGCTATTGATGCCCCCAGGGTCTGGAATGATATTGCCAATAAACTGCAACTTGAATCACTACCTATGAGATCTTCACTCAAAACTGCTCTAGAGGAGTTGTACACCCCTAGCTGCCACTGCTATTCAGTGGCCTACAATCAAATGTTTTCGCTCCGGATGACTGCTGCAAAGTTATGATCTTGTGTTTTGATGTAGTGTGCTGATCTTAAAGGTGCATTGAAAAATGTTGATACTCCTACTGATGCTCCTGTTGTTGTGAAGTGACTCATGCAGCCAGCTATGGCTGCAGGGTTTTGGTGGTACATGTTGTTTATGTCGTTTATTGTGAAAACTCGGTCACAGTTCCTATGATCACTGTTACATTGCTTAGGGCTTTATTTTGGTGATTTCGAAAAGTTTTATAGTTTGGCTATGTTTCGTTTCTTGTAGTGCGGAGTTAGACTGGTGGCTTTAATCTAAGTTGTCTTGTAGTTGTTGTTGTTTGACTTGTATCCCACTGGGATTTTTGCACACAGCGTTGGTGTACGGTGCTTTTTCTGGAAGACTTTTTTCCTGGATTTTTCTGTTTGCGCATAGTCACTTTAAGATGTTTTCTTCTTCATGTTTTTGTTTTGTTGCGGTTGCACCCAATTCAAGAGCCGAATGGCTCACAGGGCTATACCTAAACAGGACCCTGCGGGGTGGGCTGGTAGGAACGAATAACCAAAGAATATAAACATAATGTATTATTACACTTGTTTAGCCAGGAAAGCCCCACTGAGTCTAAAGGTTTTTCTAGGGTCCTGCCAAGTGTTTGCAGTAGGGGGCGATGTTGCTACACCTAATTGGACGATACGAAGGGAGAGTGTGAGGCCTAGTTCTAGGCTTTGGGCCTAGCTGTAGGCTTTAGGCCGCCGTGAGTTAATTTTTAATTTAACTGTTTTTTATTATTTATGTAAAAGCTTTAAATTTAAATGTTTCTATTTAAAAGCATCAGCGAATGTAACATTGTTAAACATTAACTCCCTTGCACACACGCGGGAGAACGATACGAAGTGAGAGTTTGAGGCGTTGTTCGAGGCTTTTGGCCTAGCTGTAGGCTTTAGGCCGCTGTGAGTTAAATTTTAATTTATAAGTTTTAATTAAAAGCTATCTCAGGGAATTATAAGGGAATGTTACACTTGTTTAGCCAGGAAAGCCTCATTAATTTAAATGTTTTAATTAAAAGCTATCTGAGGGAATTATAAGGGAATGTTACACTGGTTTAGCCAGGAAAGCGTCACTGAGTCTAAAGGTTTTTGTAGGGTCATGCCAAGTGTTTGCAGTAGGGGGCGATGTTGCTACACGGACGGACGGACGGACAAACGGACGGACGATATAAGCTATTGTAGGCTGGTCCACTTCGTTCCTACCAGTATAAATTTAAACTGAAGTCGCGCAGTGGAATGGATGCTTAGCACGGTTGGTTACGGACGGTGTGACAGAAGTTCAACATACGCACGCACGCTCGCTCGCGTGAATTGTATTCCCACTGCGGAGGTTATGAAGCCCCCCCCCCTTCGTTGGGTCAACGGGAGTATTCATGAAGGCACAAGTTTAAGTTGAAATCCAAAAGCCGACCTCGCACAAAGAGCCCGCGTAAACTTCAGGAAGCGCACGGACAGAGGCAGCTACCTGCCGAGTAGCAACAACAACAACAACAACCGCCATTCGCCACTAAGTGGCGGTGACGTCCCCACGGCGCTTGTGCCAGGCTGCGTGCACGTTGAGTAGCGCACTCGGTTACACATACAGTGCACAACTACATCATGTTGTCTGTCCCAAGTCCGACCGCATAGTCGCATGTACATAGTGGTCCAAATGTCTTGTGACCCCCCCCCCTCCATCAATTACTGTAACTCGTAAACTATTTTCCCTTCGCATATTCATTTCTGTTTTAAATAAACCTTACGGGTTTTTTGTTACTTTTTTGAGAATGGGAGTCACAAGAAATCTGGACCATCTTGTAGAGTGAATTCAAACCGCGTGTATGTGCATTTACGGTCCAAATAGGTGAGCCACATATACGCGGAATCGCACAAACCGAACCCGCATCAAGCGAGGGCAACCTGTATAACACATTGCTACTCTGGTTGAATGACAACATTTAGTGACACTAAATCGATTCTTTTGATTTTTCAGCAGGCCAAAAATAAACATTTGATACATATTGCAAACCAATCCATGGCCTAATCAATTACACATTCACATTGCACCACCCATACAGCAAACTCTTAAGGTATCCTACTCATCCGTCTTTACGCATGTGTATGATAGAGCTTATCGTAGAGCACTGAAATGTAAAAGCACCGCAGCTGTATTGAGGCTGTTATTGCGCTTAGAAGATTCTCAATTACAGCCGCAATGAAACACTTGACACAAATAGCCGTAGGGCTCAAAAAGAGAGCCCAGAAATACGAAGGTATCAAGCGCCACTTACCCAGTGTAAGATATCACACGGACGACATGAATTTGACTTGTCTTTAACTTGGCTACACGAAGAAAAAAATACGTTCTCGTCACAATGTCACCAGATTGAAGTGGAAAAAGTGGAAGTTGGGGTAAGCGAGATTTCATAAACGCCCACCTACAACTCTTGACGTTGGCGTAACCACAAAAGAGCAACTTCTACACTGTAAAAAATCCCAACTTCAAGTGGAATCAGGGCAGTTGTTATCGTGCATTGATTCACCCCCTGTCAACGAGTTGATGAATCATCGCCATTCTGTTCTAAGTACGTTAAGGTGGTTGAGCCAGATTAAAACGTCGCACTCGTTGCATGCAAAGTGCTAGCTACACGTGAACCGCAATCTCTCGCTGACCTCGTCAAGGAAGCTAAAACCACCACCATCACGCCAACTCCGCTCATCCTCGCAGCAGTGGCGGATTTTAGCTGCTAGCCATTGAACAAAGTGCCGGATTAAGCTAGTGCGGGGCCTGTAGCATATGTTATAAAGGGGCCCTAAATTTAACAAAACATAAATATTAAAACACAAATGTTTAACTTGCTGTTGCACACTCGAAATTAAGGACGTGGGAAGGTGCTCCAAATCGAGGGCAAGCACATTTATTGTGCATAATAAACGTTTTTGGGTTAGATCGCGTTATTTAAAAATGTGTCGTAACCCTCCACCACCCGACACGGCCAATCAGTAAAAAAGTGTCACGTTGACAAAAGACAAATAGTTCACTACTTTAGCCCACCGGTGTGTTGAAGAGTGAATCCACAACATTTACAAAAAAAATGCGTACGTTTCGCTGGTAATTACATCCAGCATCATCGGGCAATTAGCCAGAATGTCGTACTAAAAAAATGTAAATGTTGTGGATTCACTCTTCAACACACCGGTGGGTTAAAGTAGTGAAATATGTGTCTTTTGTCAACGTGACACTTTTTTACTAATTGGCCGTGTCGGGTGGTGGAGGGTTACGCCACATTTATAAATAACGCGATCTAACCCAAAAACGTTTATCATGAATAATATTGGTCGCGAAAGCCTACGTGTTAAACTGACATTTATTGTGGTTAATCTGTAAGATGCAACAGCACGTGTGTCACACACAGCAATCTTTCCGAGTCGCCATTAACCATGTGGCTGGTGTCCAAGTGCGGTTATTCAATAACCCTGCCAGCCACCTACACAGGCCCAACTCAAGTCATTACATGCTGCTGTACACACATGCATTGATGCACTGCACAGCACATCAGGACTTTCACAGAATCACACTTTACTCCCTGGCTGCACAAGGAAATAATTAAAATCGAAACGTTGTAGTTTTTATTTCTTTATTTACTTTTATATTTTTCTCTATCTACGTGACTTTACCGAAAGATCCAAAGAATATGAATTCGTGCAGTTATAAAAGTTTTCAGTCAAAATTTTAAGGACAATAATAGTGAAAGAAAACCTTTACAATCCGTGTACACGTATTTGTCGTGACTGATGAAGATAATGGGGTATAAGGGTTAACAGAAACAGGGAGGAGATTGCCTGGCAGTGAAATCCCTTCCAATGAGATGGGGATTGCAGTGAGGATTGTGCCTTGTTCACACAAGAACAAATCTTCCCACAATGCAGTGTGCCAGCAACATTTTATAATGTTAATGAGTGTATTTAGTAATGTTTAACATTGAAGAGTTTTCAGAGTACACAATAACTACTGTTAGGCGACTATTCATGTCCCTTTAAAAAAAAGACTGGGCATCAGACATACTGTATCTATTTTAAATTCTCATCAGACCCATGTGTTAAGTGCAAAGTCCAAACTTTGTCAACTCTCTGTGGCCTGTTTATCGCATATGAAGGGCACGTCTTGTTGAGTGACGAGTCAAGGCCTGAAGCTAACACTGCAATTGCGAGGGATGTGGGTGGTGGCGGGTTTAACGACAAATATATTTACACGATCTAACCCAAAACATAAACTGTTCCATGGTCGCTATTGTTGGCGAAAGCCTCCGTGTTAATAATCGTTATGGACAATTCCACATAAGCCACTTCGTTGAGCTATGTCGCTTTAGAAAAATAACTAAGGGGCCGTCCATAAATGACGTCACGCACCTGGGGGGGGGGGCAGACATTTGTGACGATGTGTGACGAGGGGGTGGGGGTTTGAGAAATGTGACTTCACATCAAAATGCGCAACTTTAAAAATAAACACGTTCTACTTAATTAAAGACTTTTTAATGTTTTCTCCTACATCAGAGTGCAGCGCCACATTCAATACGCACTACAATGACAATAGTTTTAAGCGATTTGAAGCATGTTTAAAAAAAATTGGGGAGGGGGGCAGAGCTTTGTGACGTCATATTTGAGGGGGGGTCTGACTTTTTGTGACGCCGTGTGACAAGGGGGGGGGGGTCAAAAATCGTCCAAAATCGCGTGACGTCATTTATGGACGGCCCCTAATAGCTGTGGCCATTACCAAGTAAAATTAAAAGTAGATTTTTTTTTTTAATTTCCTTACCTTTCCTATACTTTGCACTGCCATCATTATTGTGTGTTGTAACTTTCTGACCCGCCCCTACTGGACGTGTGTGAAAAAGAGCTTCACAGATCATCGGCTTTCTCAAGGATAAATAAAGATTCTGAAGAAGGTTCTGATTCTGTCTACATATTGTATTCGTATGAACCGCGGATTACTGACAATTGCCCAAGTCACACTGGACCATGTTTATGATTCTTACAATTTAGTGCAAATGCCAAAGGCACCAACACCACAACTAAAGTGACTTACGATAAATTTCGATTTAAAACTTTCGTGACTGCAGGGATTCATCTTCTTGGTTCTTTCGGTAAAGTCACGTAGAAGGGAAATAATAAAATAAAAATAAAACATAATAAAATAATTCTCACGACGTTTCGGCCACAACGCAAGCAGCCGTCCTCAGGTGAAGACCAGGTCTGTCGGGGAGACAGCGTCTTCACCTGAGGACGGCTGCTTGCGTTGTGGTCGAAACGTCGTGAGAATTATATTGTTTAATTTTTATTATTTTATTATTTCCCTTCTACGTGACTTTACCGAAAGAACCAAGAAGATGACTTACGATAAGTTCCCGAGGGTCACATGAGAAACATCCAAAGCAGTCAAACTTGGCTGCCGCGTTATACAGGGTGGCCATTGAGAACACATCGGGTTATTTCATTCATTTTAACACTGGCATTATTTTTGTTTACTATTATTCTTTTAAGTATTTTTTTTTATCTGTGATCATTATTACTTTACAATTTTCTTCTTCCTGTGGGCGTCACCTCAAACCCAACATTTTTACAAAACACAACTAAGAACTCTGAATGAGTCGAGACAAAATTAATGTTCAAAGATTGCAACTCTAATCCTTAAATAAAACGTCCTTCATTCATGTCAAGAGAATTCATGCGTGAATTGATGGAAGTCAGTTTTGAACATTTGTTAAAATAAATTCACTAACCCTGTCATTTGTTCAAATAAATCTAATTACCCCTTGTGACCTGACTTCAGAACCACCATGTATCACATGGTATAGCAAACACAAGGCTGTGTGCTATTTAATACAATGAATAACACCCAGAATTAATTCCATCATCAACCACAAATGAAACGCTACATACATACCAACATAAATGACAACTGAAAGCTGGTTGTCACAGAATAAAATCAACTTTATAATGCTGAACAATTTAGCCGCAACTGATATTCGCACAGAACAACGAATTGGTGCTCGCATTATTTTCAGTGGCAAAAATTGCTGAAATTGCACTGTAAAATGAATAAGTAGAGAATAGGCATCGTGACATGATGGCACATTTTACATTTTAACTGCACACTTCTTCCGAGTCCATACCAATAAGCTGGTTCCAAGAGACAACACACACATACGAGCGCATAAGCCGGGACATTTAATTAAATAATTACACAAATGTACATGCCAAACATATGAATTACATGCTTGTCAACGAATTAATAATCATTAACAAACTCCAATAGAATTGACACAATTTCCAGTTCCATCCTCACATTTGAAGTACTGGCGACCAGGAACAAAGTCAGTGGCCGTTCCTCATTCGGAAAGAACAATTTGACACGAGGAGCAGTGAGGGTGCAGGGCTTCTAAATGATCAAATTTCATCTGTAGTTCCGCAAGTAAATGAGACGGTGGGGCTGAAACTTTTCTCGGCACAGTGGACACTCCGCCTGAAAAACAAAAAATACAGATGGCAAGGATTCATCTTCTTGGTTCTTTCGGTAAAGTCACGTAGAAGGGAAATAATAAAATAATAAAAATAAAACATAATAAAATACAACTCTCAAACATAATAAAATGCAATTATAAGAATTTTATTTCGATTTAAAGCTTTCGTGACTGCATGGATTCATCTTCTTGGTTCTTTCGGTAAAGTCACGTAGAAGGGAAATAATAAAATAATAAAAATAAAACATAATAAAATACAATTCTCAAACATAATAAAATGCAATTATAAGAATTTTATTTCGATTTAAAGCTTTCGTGACTGCATGGATTCATCTTCTTGGTTCTTTCGGTAAAGTCACGTAGAAGGGAAATACTAAAATAATAAAAATAAAACATAATAAAATACAATTCTCAAACATAATAAAATGCAATTATAATAATTTTATTTCGATTTAAAGCTTTCGTGACTGCATTGATTCATCTTCTTGGTTCTTTCGGTAAAGTCAGGTAGAAGGGAAATAATAAAATAATAAAATAATAAAACATAATAAAACACAATTCTCACGACGTTTCGGCCACAACGCAAGCAGCCGTCCTCAGGTGAAGACTAGGTCTGTCGGGGAGACAGCGTCTGTCTCCCCGACAGACCTGGTCTTTACCGAAAGAACCAAGAAGATGAATCCCTGCAGTCACGAAAGCTTTAAATCGAAAGATGGCAAGGAGTTACGGTTTTTCATCGCACCAGTCTCACGAGCCCGAACCGAGGCGGACGACTTGGCCAACTGTTTTGGCGAACATTACTTAGCGATAACACATTCCTGCGGAGGGAGCTGGTAGGAACGTTGGGGTGCTCGGTTAATGGCCAGGGTCAACGGCGGCGTGGTGTATTCCGCAAATATGCCCGACTGTGAGGGCGGGCACAAGCCGGCGTGAGTAGGTTAAACGTTGAGTTTTATAAGGGCTCTGGTAGTAGATGCATTGTCCTTGAAACTGACTGGTCCACACCAGAGACAGCTTTTGTACGATGTGCTACGAAGAAGGGCGATTCCCTGAAACGTTTCTCCGATTGTGTATGTTTTTATACTCTTAGATTTTTTTCGGTAAAGTCACGTAGGTGAAAAAATAAACAATAAAATAATAGCAATATAATAATAAACCACGACGTTTTGGAGGCAACACAAGTCTCAGTCATCAGGTGGGACCGTCACAACAAAATTTACCGTATCAAGTGAGGCAAAATTCCAAGAGACAAGCCCTTAAATACAAGTTAAGGGGGCGGGGAGGAGGAGCTTATCTTAATGAGGTAGCCAATGAATGGAACGTGTTGGGGGGTGGGCGGGGCTAAAAGAGAACAATAGGTGCACCTCGACTTCGAGGGGGTTTGCAACCGGTGTTGGCTGACAATACAAATACAAAAAAGCAGTACTATTAAACGCTGGGGATGTCAACACTCGGTAAAGTAGAATAGTACCTGTCAAATAAGATGTGTAGTTAAATCTTTTTTACATGGTTAATAACATATTTCCAATGATTACTCAGTTTGTACCCATCATCATGGTTGAAGTTATGTCTGTGTTTGTATATCTGGATGGCTTCGTGTACAAACCTTTGATCTTAACCAGAAGGTATGTTTTCCCTGTCACAGCCAGTGTTATTGACGAAGGCATTGAGTGTTTGCGTTGTTTACAATGGTGTACAAAGGTCAGAGCTTACTCATAATGGGAGTGTGTAAAACACGCGGAGGGGAAAGTAGCGTCGGTCCTAATGCTATACCATACTCTGAATAAATCTACAAATTCAACACAAGGCTTAATTTCACATGGCACACATTAAATGATTGGTCAACAATGTATGTATGTCGGACTTCTTTCGCACCGTACGTAGCCAACCGTGCTAATCGAAGGTGCTGGGGAAGGACTAAAAACTAAACACAAAAAACTGTTCTAAAGAAATGAGTTTTCAATCCAGATTTAAAAGTGCAAAGCACCAGTGGCTTCCTAATATCGAAGGAAGAGCGTTCCAGACGGCCGCAGAAGCGCGTCTGAAAGCATGCGATGCAGTGACCGTCTTTGTTCGATGGTGAGCCAAATGCCGCTGCGAAAACATTGAAACCTAGACTGTGGTAGGTCTTGAGAACAGGATTTGACAAGCTGTGCTACGGTATTTAAATTCATCGTAAAAAAAAAAAACACATGAAAGTGAGGTCAAACATTTGTTTTCATATATATAAAAAGAATAAGAAAGGAGGATCGTTGTCATTGGTGGTGCCAATAAGCCCTGCCTTGGTGCCGGCCCACTCGGTGATGCAGGCCCAGCAGAAGAGGTGTCCGCACGGCGTGGCGGTGGCGTGCCGGCTCGGCTCCAGGCACAGCGAACACCTGCTGCTGCTCCCCCACGCTCCCTCGCTGCCCAAGACACAAACGAGAGGACGCTCAAGGCGTGAGCCACCAGGCGGCGCCAGCGCTCAGCAAACGCGCGGGGAGGCGGGGGGCGCGCAGCTTGTGGCACACGCTGGCATCGCTTGCATCGTCATCAGAGGTCGCAAACGGGTTTTGATTCCTTACCCGTACCCGGCCGTACCCGTACCCTACACCCGTACCCGGCCGGGTAGGGTACGGGTATCGGGTACCTGATTGCGACCTCTGGGATGAAGCCATGCTGCAGGCGCGGGTGGGTTGATTCTAGGAACTTGAATTGTGAGAAGAGACAAGACGTTGGGAAATGAGTGACAAACAGTTACTCACCAGTGACTCACGGTCTACCCGTACCCGTACCCGGCCGCACCAGAGTCGCAAACGGGTACCCGTACCCGGCCGGGTACGGTTAGCCGGGTATCGGGTAGGGTACGGGTATCGGGTACCCGGTTGCGACCTCTGATCGTCATTGTCATGAGCAAAGGAACAAAGAGATCAAGATCGAGATGTCATCGTGGCCAAAGCCACTGATGCTACCACACCTCTCGCCAATGCTTTCTGCCACCCGGTAGCTCCTGGATCGAGGAGTAATGCACAAGCCTGTGCCAGCAATTATTTTTAATAATTTTTCATACTTGAAGGCTTTGTAAGGCTTTGCCCTCCACCGCCCAGTCACTTTTGATCGCATTCACCAAGGTATTCAAGCTAGTTGGCACCAGCTCGTCATTTAGAAGTGATTATTTCCCCGCAACTACACTTCTTAAATAAATAGATCCTCAATAAAAGTGCATTTATGTTTGCATGCAGAACTTCTTTCACACCGTACGTAGCCAACCATGCTAATCGGAGATGCGGGAAATGGATAACAAACTAAATGCAAAAAGCAGTTGTAAAGAAATTAGTTTTCAATCTAGATTTAAAAACCAAAGTTATTTTTATTTTATCAGATAAGGCCTACTGCAATACAGCTCTTTTTTCAGAAGTGACCTGGCTACAAATGATAGCTCAACGAAGTGGCTTACCGTGTGGAAAAGTATAGCAGCCAAATACTCTAAACGCATGTTTCTAAAGACGGAGGGAAAAACCTGAGGACCCGGAGAAAAATCCACGCGACCACATGCAGAACATGCAAACTCCAAATATACAGCAGGCGTCAGGGTCAGGATCGAATCCACGACCTCCTGCATACCAGGCAAGGTAGTCAACATCTCGCCACCGTGGCGCCCCAAAGGTGTAACCTTAACCCTCACGGGGCCTCGTCCTCCACCACTCGGCCACGGTCACCATCCACCGCTGACTCGTGGCAATCGCTCGGCTCGTAGGGGCTCCACTGTTGAGCGAGCGTCCCCAGTCGGAAACGCGCGCGCGGGAGGGGAGAGGGAGCTTAGTGCTCGGCGTCTCACCCGCGAGCGCCGCCGTATGGGGAGGACGGCGCTACACGCTGGATCTCCCCGTCGCGGCGCGGTCGGGCCCTCGTGACGGCGCGACGGGCGCACAGCGCCAGCGTGCAGGCGAGCTGCACGAGCGACAGGGCGCCCAGCACACGGTAGGCGGTGCGCATGCTCGCATCTTCCTGCGGGAAGCCTCTCACCAGCACCTGCCGTGCACATCGGGACAGAAAAAAAAAATATTTCGCTTGTTCATCCGAGCCATTGCCACGGCTGGCTCCTCGTGTGGGTGGCTTTCATCTGGCTATTTAACTTTTTTTTTGTTAGGTAAAGCCCACTGAGCTATATCTCTCTTTTTCGGAAGTGACCTGGCCACAAATGATAGCCCAACAAAATGGCTTAACATTTGGAAAAAGTAAAACGGCCAAATACTCTTGAACGCACGTTTCTAAATGTGGGGGGAACATCCGGAGGACCCGGGTAAAAAAATCCACGCGACCATGGGGAGAACATGCAAACTCCAAATATACAACCGTCAGGGTCGGGATCGAACCCACAAACTTTTACATACCAGGCGAGGCATCTCGCCACCACGGCGCCCGTAAAACACCCCCCCCCCCCCTTTTTCCACTTGTTCATTTGAGCCATGCCAGGACTGTGTCTCCTCGTGATATGGGTTGTTTTTACCTGGCTATTTAACTGAGCCGAGCTAGGACCAAATCGTGAAACTGTGGCCTCAAGAAGACACCCCACGAGTGGGTTTCATCATTTACATCGTAACGCGCGAGTCGACTCGTTCACTGTGGCAGGATCCAGGCCGCGTGTCGTTGATGCCGATCGGGTTCTGCAGTGGAAAGACAAACGTGGCCGTCTCCAGCGCTACGCCGGGCTGGGTCGGCACAGCCCCGGCGCAGGCATGCTCGGTTGTACAGTGGAAAAAGAGGGTGCAAGAGGCAAGAGGATGTGTTCTACACAGGCAATTGAAGGCAAGATCCTGTAAGATGCAGTTTGTATTTACCAATACGGGTGAGTGAGGTGGCCTACGAGCTCAGAGGTCAGAGCACAGAGGTCAGAGCACGCTCCGAGATCCTGGTCGGAATCCGACAGCCGCCTTGGAACTTGAACTGATCAATGTTCCCAATGATCTAATAAAGGTTTTGGATTAGAGAGCGTAAATCCCTTTGTTATCGATAATACTGTGAGTGAAAGCCTACGTGTTAAACATGCCTCCTCTTTAAGAGGAGTCCTGAGACTCAAGGAAGCTTTACCGTCACGAAGCACTCACATTCCCTAACGCAGCTGTATCTCAAGCGACCGCACACCAGCAGCACTCACATATTGTATGCCCGCGACCCTCTTTGCCAGGTGGTAGAAGACACCGCGGATGTAGAACAGGGACATGTGCAGGCGGTGCAGGAACGCGAGTGCCTGTCTCGTCGCCTGCACGACATGCAGCAGCCTCTGTTTGTCCTGCACTTCCGCCAGCCTGCTCTGTATCCACAATGCTATTTCTCCCAGCGGTGCCTGCAGGCGATGCCCGGCGTTTCTCAGCACGCGCCACAGCCAAAGCAGCGTGCGTCTGTGCGCTCCCGACGACGACTCGTTGTTGCTGGCAGCGAGGAGGTGGCTCTCGTCGTCGAGGGAGTAGGTTGAGGATCCATGAGAGAGTGGATGCTCGCCCCTCTGCTGTAGCTGTGCATTGTTCTGCAAAGGCGATAAGAGATGACATGTACTTGTCCGCCACTTATTATTTCTATGAATTACAAACGATGTTATTTATGCAGCTGTTAGTCAATGCGCTGCTAGATGAAGGCTTCCCCCCACCCCCCCATGTGATGTAGGTCGTGGAGGATATTTGACCATACTTCACCATGCTGGTCAATGCAGTCTGGTGAATGGGGGCAGGGCAAGAGAGGGGCACAGAATTGATTCGGATTTCATTAGTCACTCATGTAAGCCAAGGCCAGGTATCGAACTTGGGTCTCTAGTCAAGTCAATTTATTTTTGACTTGCGGTGCCTTTCTGGTACAAATCTGCCAACCAAAGCGCTGTCACAATAATTACACACGTGAAGACAAAATAAACAATCTCGATGTAGAGCGCCCCAATCCCAATTTCGTTCCCCTCCTCTAGGCAAGGGGGTTACCGTGGTGCGGCCGCCAGTACCTCGGCTTGCTGGATGGCGTGCTCCAGCCGCACCAGCCCCCGCTCCAGCAGGTACGGCAGCGCGGTGTGCAGGAGCGCGTAGAGCACACGCCTCGACGTCGAGGGGACACGCCGGCCGCTCGAGTCCACCTGCACCGCGTTCACGTACTCCTCGCCCAGCGTCTGGAAGCCTGCGTGGGTTTTGCGTCGGTGGGGGGCGGAATGGGTGGAAAGAAGATGGCAGCAGAACCGGTTTCAGGCACCCTTCATCGCCCAGCCGAGGGCATTGCGGTCATTTGCCGCCTGCTCAATTTGTGATTCGGCGAGTTAAGTCGTGATTTGCGGTGGGGATTAAATTCAATGGACGTCGAATATCGGACACTGGACAGGATGGAAGCAAGCTACCTCGGTTGAAAGATGCAGCGACACACGAGAGGAAAGTGGAAATACTGCGGGGTAATATCGGTGACGCAAACAGCCGCGGCACAACAGCTGAGAAGGCCGATGGACTTTAAGGAAATTTCAATTCAAGAATGGCTATTTTTAAATCCTTTATATTAAGTTCGCTTGCTTGCTTGCGTGCTTGCTTGCTTGCTTACGACCGTGCAAATCTTTCGGTCGTTTTTTAACCCACTTCCCGTGATCCAATCGAGCTGACATTTTGCACACAGACTCGTTGTGCGAGACAATTAATATTCGTGAAAAATTTTTGTCAAAAATTTTACACTGTTTAGGGAAAACAAATTAAATATTTAATTACCAATTGCTTAATACTGGCAGACAATCGTCTGACCCATAGGTGGCAGCCATCTCAAGCCAGAGGACGAGAGGACTCTAGCCGCCACACATATAAAGGATTTATAGTGAAAAACTTTGTTTTTACGGGTTATACTTATTAAATCCTTTATATTAAGTTCGCTTGCTTGCTTAGGACCGTGCAAATCTTTTGGTCGTTTTTTAACCCACTTCCCGTGATCCAATCGAGCTGACATTTTCCACACAGACTCGTTGTGCGTGACAATTAATTTTCGTGAAAATTTTTTTCAAAAATTTTACACTTTTTAGGAACAAAAAATTATATGTAATTACCAATTGCTTAATGGTGCCAAGCAATCATCTGACCCATAGGTGGCAGCCATCTCAAGCCAGAGGACGAGAGGACTCTAGCCGCCACGCATATAAAGGATTTATAGTGAAAAACTTTGTTTTTACGGGTTAATTTTTAACAGTGGTGAATATAGTGCCTCTCCAGGTTGCAGCTGTCACGTGAATTACAACATATGACTCACCAGCAACAATCAATTGTTTCATATATATGGTCTGATGCATTGTTCTGATTTGTACATTTTTTACGTTCATCAGAAAGAGCATCTTGTCACTGGCACCTGAAAGCGTTGTCAGACTGAGGTATGTGACGTCAGCCAAAAGCTCCAGCTCTCGCCTCCACTGTAACCATTTGCGTGCTCCTGTAATGCATCAAACAAACAGTATTTTCATACGGCCCGATGTCCATTCAGAATTTCTAAACAGATTTATAGAATTACACTATTTCTTCTGTCGATGTCACTTACTGACCTGCCCCTATTAGACATCTGTGAAAAAGAGCTTCATAGCTCATCAACATTCTGTAATATATATAATTCACAAATATTAGAGGACCAAATAATGGACAATGTAGAAACCAACCAACCACATTGGTGACACGTGGGGAGGGGTCCTCACCTCACAGTAGCCATATCATGAAGACGACGATAAAGCTACTTGAATTTCGATTTAAAGCTTTCGTGACTGCAGGGATTCATCTTATTGGTTCTTTCGGTAAAGTCACGTAGAAGAGAAATAATAAAATAATAAAAATAAAACATAATAAAATACAATTCTCACGACGTTTCGGCCAAAACGCAAGCAGCCGTCCTCAAGTGAAGAACAGGTCTGTCGGAAAGACAGCGTCTGAACTTTACCGAAAGAACCAAGAAGATGAAAGCTACTTGATTCACGAACATACGTTAAAGCATGTGTTTTGGAATCTGCGAGTGTGCCAACCATACAACCCTGTAACGTGACTTACTATATGACCCTGTTAAAAGGGTTGCATACAAAAACTTAGCGGGTGCATGACAAATTCAGTGTTAAACAAACTTGAAACAAATGTTAATAGATAACGATATAAATTTCGATTTAAAGCTTTCGTGACTGCAAGGATTCATATTCTTGGTTCTTTCGGCAAAGTCACGTAGAAGGGTAATAATAAAATAATATTATTTCCCTTCCCTTCTACGTGACTCTACCGAAAGAACCAAGAATATAGATAACGATATGATCTGCTTTTGCCCATCATTAATTATCTTAACTTCAAAGAAAAGCCACTGGTGTTAAATAATGTACCAAAAATATTTTGACTTCATAAGTCGTCAGAAGACTGGCTGAATCTTCACTAGGGGGTATGAGGGAGGGGGGGCTTAGGCCCCCATTCCCAGCTACCCCAACTCTGTAGGGCTGTAGCCATTATTCAAATTCTACAACTTCTTGCGGAACTTCTGGCTGGCGATGGAGGCAGCGAGTGAGTTTGCCAGGTCATACCCACGAGCAGCTGAAAGACATCCGCCAAGCCACCCTTGATCACGTTGCTGTAAAACTCGTCCTTTTGTGCCGCACGGATGATCTCGGGCTGCCGAGCCGGGTACACAGACATCTTGAGCAAAGGGCTCCGAGCCAGAGGTTCAAGAGAGGCTTGATGCTGATGCTGCTGCTGCAGAGGACTTGGTTCTCATGGCTCGGGGCTCATTCTCTGCTGGCAGGGAGATCTTGTCGCACCAAGGCTTCACTGTGCGCGTCGAGGGACAACCTAACACCAATGCAAGTGACAAACATTAATTTTACTATTTGCTATTATTTTACCATTTTTATTTTTAACCAGGTAAGCCCCACTGAGCTATACGGCTATTTTTTCAGAAGAGATCCGGCCATGAATGATAACTCAACAATGTGGCTGCATGTGGAAATATATAGCAGCCAAATACTCGAAAGGAATGTTTCTAAATGTGGTGGGAAAAACTGGAGGTCCCGGACAAAAATACACGCGACCACGGGGAGAGAGAACATGCAAACTCCAAATATACAGCAGGCGTCAGGGTCGGGATCAAACCCACGACCTCCTGTATACAAGGCGAGATAGTTAACATCTCGTCACCGTGACACCCCTGTATGGACTGTGACAACACATTTCCTTTGCATGTACAATTGTATGTGAGAGACTGTGTCATTTAAATCGTTAAGTTGATGCACACGACATAAAATGTATTTCCAGAGCCGGCACGTTACACCGGATGTTTAAACCACAAGCTGTGCATTGATTGCTAGGAGGCATGGCAATTACAAGAACCGCTGTAGATGCCAGTGCCCACAAACACATATATGTATTAGTTATCACGATTTTTTTGCACACTGAATTAATAACTAAAGAGATTTCAATTGGCATTTCAAAAATGTTGCCTACTGGAGGAAAGCACCAACTTGGAAAAACGCAAGACACTTTGCAGGAAATTGTAGTAACCAAAGCAAACTGGAACAATTACCAATCCAATCAGGCGCAATTACTCCAACAGTACCAACATGCAAACAGGAACACACGACACGGAAAAGCGAATGATCGCGTCCAAATATTCATTTAAATGTTTAATGTTGCTACACGTATACGTGCAAAAGCCGAGACATATTTAGGCTCAAACTGCAGTGCAAGTCGTGAATACGGTGCCCATAACCGCTTTAAATGACTCTAGAGTTAAATCAGCGACTTTTTTGCATGGACACTGTGAATATCGCTTCGTAAACACCGTCACGACCCATGGGCAGATAGCCCGTAGGTGTCCACTGCACATTTCGTCGTTTGTTTCCACTTTTCTCCTCTGTCTTGTACCAATTTTGCTCAAGTAGTGGCCACATCTTTTCTTGCACCAAAGCGAGTAGCACCTATGAAGGCCGGCACTGTGGCACACGAGAGGCTGGGTGACCAGCACCACGCCCGGCCGCCTTTGTCTCCACGTCGCTCCAGGTACTAATTTGAGGCTGAGTCGACCTAGGGGAGGAGGCCCAGGACCGGTTCACATAATCTCGGAACCCCATGTTCGCCAGGTTTCGTAGTGCGACGCGCGAACCGCAACGCCACCGGCTTACCCACGTGTAAGGGCGGCAACCCCCAACACCCGCCGTTCGCCTGTGTGCCAGGCTAGGTGCACTTTGATAACCACACTCGTACAGTGGCGGCAGCGGCAGCAGCTGATGATGATGCTGCTGACACGTGCGTCGCTCTCGCGGCCACTTCCGGACACGTGTGCGGCGCGAGGAGGCGGTGACGCGGCGGTGTCGTAATCGGAGTTCTAGCAAGCGGGAGAGCGAGCGAGACCCGACGAAGATTCAACGTTGACATTATTTTTGTCCAACTACATCATTGGGACCTCCTTTGCCAGTACCAAAACATGAGAATAGGTTTTCCCCTTTTTTATGGCAACAACACATTCCTGCGGAGGGAGCTGGTAGGAGCGTTGGGTTGCTCGGTCAATGGCCAGGGTCAACGGCGAAGTGGTGTATTCCGCAAATATGCCCGACTGTGAGGGGTGGCACAAGCCGGCGTGAGTAGGTGAAACGTTGAGTTTTATAAGGACACCACGGGGTGACCAGCCCCTCCCCACCCAGCCCCATCCCTCCCACCCCTCCCCACCCAGCCCCTCCCCACCCTCCAAACCAAACAGCCCCTCCCCACCCAGCCCCACCATCCCCACCCTCCCCTCCCCACCCAGCCCCACCTTACCCAGCCCCACCCCTCCCCACCCAGCCCCTCCCCACCCTCCAAACCAAACAGCCCCTCCCCACCCTCCCCACCCTCCCCACCCTCCCCACCCTCCCCTCCCCACCCAGCCCCTCCTTGCACGACGGACGGACACAATAATTCCCTGTGGGCTGGTGTAACCAGGAGGTTAATACCAGTAAAACAGGTGTGAAGATGTTAAAACACCAAACTGAAACTTTTTACACAATCCTTTTGGTCAGAATGCATACAAAAAGCGTTCTCTGATAATATACGCATTGTCTTTGAAACTGATTTTTTTTTGCATTCTGACCACAAGTATGTGGTTAATGCAGACATGATTCCTTGTAAAAAGTTTCAGTTTTGTCAATGGACCTCCTTTGCCAGTACCATAATATACTAATAGGGTTTTTCCCCTTTTTTCTGGCAACAAAACTGACACCTTTTGCAAGGAATCATGCTTACATTAACCACAATACTTGCAGTCAAATGCAAACAAAAAACAATACAGTACTCTGATAATTTATGCATTGTCTTTGAAACTGATTGGTCCATACCAGAGACAGCTTTCTTTGGAGCCGAGTCTCATATGGTGTTCGACCAGATGACGCCAAAAGGCGCACAGTTCAAAGACAACGCACTATCAGAGTAATGGGAGCAGCTACATCATGGGACCTCCTTTGCCAGTACCAAAATAAAGGGGGGAAACCCTATTAGTATATTTTGGTACTGGCAAAGGAGGTCCCATGATGTAGCTGCTCACCCCGAGCTCTCATTACTCTGGTAGTGCATCTCTTTATCTCGAGATATGTTGGGGTTTTTTTTTTGTGGCGCTGATGGCACAATTAAAGATCATCACTTTTTTGTTGTTGTGAATATTTACCCAGGAAAGCCTCGCTGAGGATGAGGGTCACCCGGTTGTACCAACGTCGATATGAGGACGCCACTGGGGAGCTATTCACTTTTAAACTTGGATTGCAAACTCATTTCCTAAGAACTGCTTTTTGTGTTTAGTTTATTGCCCTTCCCCCGCACCTCCAATGAGCAAGGTTGGCTACGTACGGTGCGAAAGAAGTTCAACATCGCACGTACATTCAGTTTCTCATCAGGAGTTAAGCCAGCTTAAACCAGTGCTTGTGAACTGCCAGATAATTATATGCAAAGGCTGGTTTCAACATTCAATGTCTCATCAGTATTCAGGCTCGCTTCAACCATTGCTTGTGAACTGTCAGATGGATGTCCGTGGTGGCTAGAAGATGTTAACTCCCTCGCCTGGTATGCAGGAGATCGTGGGATCGATCAGGACCCTGATGCCTGCTGTAGATTTGGAGTTTGCGTGTCTCTCTCTCCCCGTGGTGGCGTGGATTTTTTTTCTTCGGTTTTCCCTCCACATTCAGAAGCAACATCACGCTTTTCGAGCATTTGCCTACTATACATTTCCACATGACGATCATCCGCTTCTTTGTGGACAGGTCACTTCTTAAAATAAGAGCGATACAGCTCAGTGGGCCTTACCTGGTAAAAAAAAAACAAAGTTGTATTTATAGTATAGATAAGTGCCACTTCAATCTTGATTTGAAGCTTTCGTGACTGCAGGAATCCCATACTCTTTGGTTCTTTCAGTCAAGTCACGTTGGTAGAAAATACAAAAAATAAATCACGACGTTTCGGGCGCAACACAAGCCATCGTCTTCTTGGTTCTTTCGGTAAAGTCACGTAGAAGGGAAATAAAAAAATAAAAAATATAAATTGAGTTATTATTTCTTATTATTTCCCTTCTACGTGACTTTACCGAAAAAAACAAGAATACGAATCCCGGCTGCAGTCACGAAAGCTATAAATCGATAAAATAACAGCGCTCGGCTCTTGCTTGAAGTTCCGATTACGACCCGCCCACCTGTGACGTCACCGGGGTCACCGGGGTCACCAGTGCGCGTGCGGTTCTTGAGAGGTACAGACACGCGCGGTGATGTTTTAAATCTCTTCGCCTCTTATTCATATTCTTCGCCTCTTCTTCGCATTGTAAACTCGTAAATGGTGCTCTGCCACCAGCCGCCGCTTGCTTGCTTGCGAGTTCCCTGGCAGCGGAGAGAGCGTGTCCGTCTGAAAATATCGAGTGGTGTTGCGTGTGTGTGTTGTGTGTGTTCTAGGCGAGGCGGTTGCTTAGGCCCAAATCAGCGTGCGGTTGCAAATGATTCAAGGTCGAATGTATCCGCGCTGTTGTTTTTAAATGAGTGTTCTATTTAGATGTACACAAACAGAGTAACGAGGAAGCACCGCGGTAACACGTCCCCGTGTGCTCGTCCGGCCAGGCAGTCCTTCGTAAAGCAGTGGCATGAGCAAGGCCAACGATGATGCCGAACATAGTTTCAAATTCTTGACGTTGATAATTGTTTCTTTACCCTTCTATCTGAGTGTGGACCAATCAACTTCAAGGACAGTGCATACATTATCAGTTATGTTTTTTGGTTTGCATTATGACTGCAGGTATTGTGGTCTATGCAAACATGACTCCTTGTAAAAAAAGGTGTCCGTTTTGTTGCCAGATAGAAGGGTAAAAAAACAATTATCATATTTTTTACTGGCAAATGAGGTTCCAATGGTGTAAATTCTTGACGTTATTCCGCAATAACCCCGTGCTTGATAGAGTTTGTGCCAAGTCCAGGTTTTGGTGGCGGTGTGTTGTTTTGGTCGTAGAGTACTCGTGTGACCATACCTCACCGCGGTGTGAGGAGGGCACGGGTGTCTGGCCCTGCCAAGGCAACCGCAGGCGGAACTCGAAATTCAATAATTCTAGGAGCAAACCTGGAAAAACAGTTGCGAGTAGCAACAACATCATCAATACCGGCTAACATCACACGTCTCGCCCAAAGAGAAGCAGTTCCAGCCATCGCATTAAGGGCGAGTTAAATATTTGACCAAATTTAACGGGCTAATTTTTTGGTTGATCATTTTGTATGGCCCGCGAATGATGTTGTAAATATCCAAATGACTCTTGGCAGAAAAAAAGACTCGGGGTATTTTGCAAGACCGGGTTTAGCCATCACTCGCCGCCGATGTTAGCCGTAGCCAGGAATCAAACTCGGGTTACCTGGTTCATAGTGCAGTCGGCTAATCCACTGCACCACCGATCCACCTCGGAATGAGTCCATTACTCTGTATGCTTTAAACGTGAAAGAAAAACTGCATGTTAAGTGGTTTCAGCAGAAATCAATATGAATTTTAACCGAGTAGTATTTAGATATGAAACAATAACAGGCAATAAAACAGGTGTTAAGATGTTCAAACACCAAATAGATTATACCTTTAGCAAGAAATCAAATCTGCGTTCACCACATGTACTTGTGAACATGCAAAACAAATATTCCCTGGTAATATATACATTGGTTTTTTAAACTGATTAGCAAACACCAGAAACAGCTTTGTTCTTTATGGCCTCGTCTCACCAGTGTCAGACCAGAGAACAACAAAAGACGAACAGTACAGAGACAATGCCACGCGTATCATAGTACAGATAGTCCCCGAGCCGATTGCCAACGTGTCTTTATCATGATATTTGGGGCTTAAATTCAGGCATGTCTGTAACAGGTCTATGACCTGGCAAATATTTCCCCCACCTGGCACACCACATGAAGTATACATATCGCTATGTCTGTAGGTACTAGACATGTGCAACCTATATTCTTGGTTCTTTCGGTAAAGTCAAGTAGATAAAAAATAAAAATAACATAATAAAATTAAATAAAAAATATAAAAGCAAAAACCCCACGACTTTTCGATCGCAACACAGTGTGCAACCTCCTCCAGTCTTACGAGTGATCTTGGAAATACTGGTTGAGAAATTAAGCCCTGATCATAATGATTTATAATATCAGCCCATTGAGGAAAGGCCTTTTTTTGCAAAGGAAAAATTGGGATTGTAAGCCACGATTGGTGAAACATCACAATCGTGTAAATACAAACCATAAAAATCTAAAATATTTATCTATAAATGTAATATTATTTATACAAGAAGAAAGTTTTAAAAATTCTAAAGTTGACAGCTACTCAAGTAAACCAAGTTTCAGTGCGCAAACACCAATCCTCCAAGGGAACTCACGACCAACAGCTGCCCATCTGAACACCCATTAAGAGTCCCAATTGCAAGAAGGCGCTGTTGTGGCTGTTATACTCTATGTTAAATGATTAATATTTTAGCAATTTCCTTGAAGGTGATTTTACCTTTTCTCGTTTTGGCCATACCAGGCGTTGGCAACCTGCGGCTCCGAAGCCACATGCGGCTCTTTGAGGACTGCTTCGTGGCGTTTTGTTCGAGACAATCTTGTAATTCACCGAATTCGAAAAAAATGCCTCCTGTTATTTTGCTTGTCAATCCCTGGGCTTTCCTATAAAAAAAATAATGGCTTGCTTTTTTTGCAATGTGTATAATATGGTGTCTAAGCATTAGACACGTTCATTGACATTATAGGTGGATAAGAGGCCATTCCAGCATTAGATGTACAGTGGTTCAACGGAGAGTGATGACCCCTGGACTAGCAATCAAAGCATGTGATTATTAGATTCTATTATAATACCGCATATAATTTGCATAGTGTCTCACTGCTCAAATCAGTATGGGGGCGGTACACACCTCCATTGGTGGAGTCACGTGAGAAATTCCACTTTCTTTTGGTTGTCAGAGTCTCCATACGACTGCATACTTGTACATGTACACTGTATTGGAGGTTGCATACCTGATACCTGATTTTGTATATCATTCTGCTGACTCGCCCATACTGTGGACATCTGTGAAAAAGAGCTTCATAGCTAATCGGATTCCTTCTGCAGTCTAAATAAAGATTCTGATTATAAATTGACCGTATGCCAAACATGCTTTGTAGCACTTGGGCAATAATTGTCCCTCTCTCTTTCAGAACCAAAACATTCAAGAAAAAAGCAATCTCATTCTGGTACATTACACATGAAATAAAAATATAAGAGGCATATACAATTAATTATTCTTGAACACAAAGCCTCGGGGATGTTTTACGTTCACACAAATTACCTTAAGGGGCACACACATGATGGTGCGTTGCTGGAGAAGTGGACATAGGTGGATTTGAACTGGAAATATTTCACCCAAAAGAAAGATCGCTAACCGGTCGGCCACTGCGCTGTGAGTTCACGAAAGAATTCCTATAGGCTTTGAGTTTTTGCATTTTATGATGGCCTTGAGGTGCATTCAAGCCTCAGTGCATTGTGTAAAATGAGCACTGCACGGCTGACAGCTTGACATACACAAAAATCAATACTTGTCACTGTAACACACTGACATTTTTAATAATGGATGTTCCTTTCTTGCAGCCAAAGCCGGGTGCTGAAGAATGGCTTTGGTCAAGCAAACGTTTGGTAGACTCCTGCTTGGGATATGGAGACCATCTGCCTTCACTCAGCGCCTTAGGGAGTTTTCTCTCGGTATTTTTCACTTGCCTTTGACGTTCATTAGGACATTAACTGATGGCTCGCTTTAGAGTGTGCCTTTGAAAGCGTTGAAGACCTATTTGATTTTGTCGCATAGTAAAGTCTGCTTGTGTGCCGTCTCCCGCAGGACCAACAAGCTTGGTTAAGTCGCATGCTTCACCGGTGCCACAGAAGGTCGATCGGTGGACTGAGAAGCGGGCGTTGTTCGGCATCTATGACAACGTTGGCATCCTCGGTAAGTGTGCTCATGAAGGGCCATGGCAAGCAGTTTTAGAAATTGGATGGCGGATGCCACTTGTGCAGAGCCAGATTTCATTTGGAACCAAAGTGTTGGTGTACGTAGCTCCTGGCAAACGGGCATATCCCTAGCGACACGGTTTGTTGCCAAAGTCAAAGTCGTGCTAAAACAAGCTTGGAGTGGAGCTCAGACCTATTGGCAGCTCTTGAGGCCGAGATAGAAATGCTGCATTCAAATTGTGGAGGACCAGCCTCTCGGGGGGAAAAACTACAACGGTCAAATTCCGAGAAAATGGTAAAAGTTTGAATGACCCTACTGAGGTGATTTGCTGAGTCGAACGTGATTGGCGTTTGAATCGTGATTTTGTTGCGTGTCGAGTATCCATCACGGGACCACTCCGCCAGATATCCATACGCTTATAAAATAGAGTACGATTGCCGTTATAACGTTATCTCTCAGGTAAAAAAAAACTCTTGCAAGAACAAACATCAATGAGCGATGTTTATTTTGTATCCAGCATCTTATAGCAATGGTGCTGGATGCATTTAGTGTGTACACTGACGTCCACCTATTTTATGTGGTGGTATAATCGGTTGTTTGCACCAGCCACTTGTTACCCAAATACGCGCTGTGCGCTGCTGTTACGCAGGTGACTCGGACGAAGAGCCAACCAACCTTATATTGAGGCTAGAGGACAGAAACTAACTGCTCGCAGTTGCCATTTCCGCAGGGCTTTTATCTGTCGTGTCATTATTGCTGATTTATAGCAGTGTTGTGCAGTATAGCCTTCGCTTGCAGGGTCGCTTCTAAAGAAAGAAATGTGTATAGGCTAGTGAGACAGGACTTTCGTGCCGTCATAGTGATTGTACTGATGCTGTGTATAGAAACATGAAACCTTGTCTTTTTTAAAACCTTACTGCCTGTGGCTGATAGGCTGAAGTTCAGGGGATAATGCCTGTGAAGGAACATTAAGCCAACAGCTGTGTTGGAGTCCTGGGTGCCCAGTGGATAGCAGGCAGGTCTCTCTGGTTTACCAGCCTGATGATGTGGGGCTTCTCACTGACAACTGCATTACAACACTCAATTAACTCCAGCTCAACTCTTGAAGGCTTAATTGGGTATAAACATACCCAGCCTTCCATCTGCAGAGAAGTAAAACATTGTTGTTGTTCCTTGTAAGATAGACACGTAGAATAGATACAGTATATGGTGAAGGGAAATTAAATTGTCTTGACGTATTACTCAACATTACGTGTGGCTCTGCTGAATTGGTGAATGCATCTCTATGCTGCACATTAATAAGTAATCGCGTAATTAGAGTGTGTAGTGGGAGAAGTGGCACGGTGTTTAGCGGACTGCACTCAGAACTGAGTTTGGCCAATTTAGGCAAATACAATTGCATCGGTGATATCTGAACAAGTCATGGGCCGCCACCCCCAACCTTCACCACCCACACTGACCAGCGTGGTGAAGTAAGGTCAAACCCCCCCCCATGACCGAGACAGCAAGGTGGAAGCCTTCGTCCAGCAGTGGATTGACAAAGGGGATGTCGGGTATAGTTGCGGTATATAATTACCAAAAAAAAAACAATGAAACCGCCCTTCAGCTACTTTTTCATAGCCTGCTACCCTTTAGTCGTTCTCTCCTTTACTACCACGGACTTCCCACTCCCGGCGTTGGCCTTGCCCCACGCGATGCGTTTGACCTCGCCGCTACCCCTCGCTCGTGCCGTTCGAGACTGGTGGCGCCACGCCAGCGCGCCCGCTCTGACGTCGCGGGGATTGACGCGGTGTGCGTGCGTGCCTGCACCGCGTGTTCGCGCGCAGGAGACTTCAAGATGCACCCGAAGGAGCTGATCAGCGGACCCGCGTGGCTGCGCGGCTGGAGGGGCAATGAGCTGCAGCGCTGCATCCGCCGGATGAGATGGGTCGGCAGCCGCATGTTCGAGGAGGATAAGCACAACCTGAAGAAGCGCATTCGCTTCCTGTACAAGCGCTTCAACCGCTACGGCAAGCACCGCTGAGGACGACGCTGCTGGGTGTTGTGCTGTCGTCTGTTGGTTCGCCGCCTCGTTCGACAGTCGCCTGACAGTGGGAGTGTGCGTTTTTTGTGAGCGGCGATCCGAAGGGATTATTCAGCTACAGCGCGTTGGGATATTTTTTCTGTCTCTGTAAATAGGTGCGTTAACGCGCTCTGCGTTGACATTATAACCGAGCTTTGTGAAATGAAACAATTTGCCGTACCGTCCTGCTCGCGTGGTTATACTGGACGCTCGGAGATGATTCATTTGTGGGTTTGATTTTAGATTGTTTAATGCAAGGATTATACATTCGCAACTTTTCATGCCTTGATTGGCTTCAGTTGCGTTCGTTGTCCGTGGTAGGAATTGTACAGTGATCGAGTATCAGCATCGTATGTGCCATTCCCACTGAATTAGGCACGATGTAAATGTTGAATGCAGTCCAATTCAATTTGGTATATATAATGAACATTCAAAACAGATGGTCACTTGAATTAAAATCTCAAATGAAAATGGCTCTTGTGGCTGCATACCTAGGCTTTGTGTGACAGAATGTCCAAAGCAAGTTTTGAAGTGTAATTAATTACATTTATTTTCTTGTTCTTGTCAGGAACACGTTATTGATGTTGCTTCTGGACGTTCTTAGTACAGTGTTACTTCAGCGATATCTCTTGATTGCTCCTGATTTAACTTTGTTAATGGAGCTTTGAACTCATTGAACACAGCCTAGGTAATTGTTTGCAAAATGTAGCGCTTCTTACATTTGACGTTGCATTCATCTTTACTGCCCTCGCATTTGAATGTGGCATACGTGCAGTAATAAGATTATGTTGGTCAAAGGCATGATTTAACCTCCCTCCCTGAGTGTTGGTGAAGTAACTGATGTCAAGGGTTAACATTGAATGCGAATTTCGAAAAAAAGGAGTTTATAAAGGAAACAATAAAATGATAAATCCCTCGACATTTAGTTGCCCGTGAAATACCGACGCAGCTCTTGTCAAGCAGGCCGTTATGTGGTAATGGACTCGCCCTGTTCTAACATGTCTTTGTCACCGTCTGATTATTTTCATACGAACAGAATACGTGTATATTTGCATTCTTTAACTTGCAACTTTCACTTTTTTTAAAGGTGAACTTGGGGTTTAAATTTGTCAGCCTGATGGTAAACAAGACGTATAAACAACGATTATTTATTTTGTCAGGGTTCATATTTGGGCGAAACTTCCTTTAGTACTCCCTCGTAATGCAACCTAGCCGAAGATGTAACTTTTGATGAGTTAATGCTCTCTGTTATATATACTGTATGCAGTCCACGTACATTTTCATATGACTGTAATGCATATATTTCATGCATATGAAAAATAAACTGACGATTGACATTTTTTCGACAGCACGGTTTAAACTTCATTTCAGTTAACATCAGCCCACATCTTCTTGGTTCTTTCGGTAAAGTCACATAGAAGGGAAATAATACAAATAAAACATAATAAAATAAAAATTATCACGACGTTTCGGCCACAACACAAGCAGCCGTCCTGTCTTTCCGACAGCTCTGTTTCTTCACCTCAGGACGTCTGCTTGTGTTGTGGCTGAAACGTCGTGAGAATATTTATTTTGTTATGTTTTATTTGTATTATTTTATAATTTCCCTTCTACGTGACTTTACCGAAAGAACCAAGAAGATGAATCCCTGCAGTCACGAAAGCTTTAAATCAAAATCAGCCCACATGCTTAACATTCCCGTAAAAAATAATATCTCAGAGTTGTTGGAATTTGAAACACGAATGCATTTTTTTACATGGCATATATGTGTAAATACTTGATAATGTGCAACACTGCCATTTTTTATTATTATTAATTGGCTTATTTCGGGAATGTTTTGGGAAAAGGACTCCATCTGGTCACTGTTTGCCATCCGTGGCATGCAACAATTTCCAATCAACAGTTTATTTTTAGCGAGTGAGTTGGCCGCTTTTTCATGTCACTGGAATGTGAATCAGTCGTGGCATGACAACATGTGAGTAAACATCTTGTTTTATTAAACAGTGTGGCTCTTGAAGCACGTGCATCGTTCCAATTTTTTAATTAAAAAACAATGTATTATTGTTCCTTTCACAGTCCATATGTGCTCCTGCGCTGCAGCATTGATAACGCCCCAAATGTCTTTCGCACACTCTCATTTGCATTCCTCGCCAGCTTGCAGCCTCGCATCCGGCAAGATGGATCGCTGTCCTAAATGCAGCCGTATAATCGAGTGGTCAGCAATACTGACCACTCAACCAGAGACCGCTCGGCCAGTTTACTTGAGTTTTACGGTTCAAACGGTGCCCCTGCTCGGACATGCATGGTTGCGTTAACAAAATCGCGCTGTCTGCTGCCACGTGAACGCCCACGTTCTTATCTGCAAGACTATAACGTTGTCTCCTGCTGTCTTGACAAATCCTAAAGTAAAATAACTACGAGTTCTGTAAATTAAAGAACAAATCAGTTTTCTGTGTGTATGCTCAAATCTCCCATTGAACTGAACACAACACATATAACTGAGAGCTCTTGCTAAATCAACTGACGATTTCTCAGACTCTTTTAAGTTGCCGATTGCTTTTTTTTGGGTTCCCAAATTCTGACGACACATTTTGTGTCAACGGAAACAAATGAGTCCAACCCCACAGAAAGAAGTGCTAAGGAGAATGTAATGAAGCTGCTCCTAAACTGCTGTTGCTAGCACTCCCCGAGATGTATTTCCACCAGGGGTGTTAAGATTGATCTGGTTAAGGCCTGGTGACACATAAAGCATTTTGGCACAACGCGATGTCGGTAACGTACACCCAGCAACATGCTGTACATGGATAGAGGGCCTTTTTATGGAGGCATTGAGAACCAGTCCAAAGTTTGCAAATTCCCTGTGTCGGCTATGCATAGTACAGGTGATAAGCGAGTGCACGGCTTGTGTGTGGTTTTATTAATTTTTTTAGACGTGGAAAATTTACACTCCAAAAACCAGGTCATTTTGCCCCTTCTAATCCACCCCACTCGTAATGCCTCGGGATTTCTCTACTCTGGGTATATTTTAGTCGGTGATCTAAAAAAAGGAATGTCCAATTTGCTCAGATAATTGGAATAGTACTGAAACAAGTTGAGTGTCAGTCCATTTCAACACGTCTAGCTCCTATGATCCAACTCAAGGTGGATGAGACCTTGCAAAAGTTTTCTCGTTCAACGTTGCTTTTGTCCCCACACAGCGGAGAGGTGGGACCTCGATAGCTGTTAACTCGATAGGTTAGTCGCTTATCATTGGACGGGGTCTTTTAGGTGTGCCCCATTGCTTGCAATTTAGCTCGCATAGCAAACGAAGCGTAAGACATCTTGTGAAAAGAGAAGGGCATTTGCCTGCAATAGCGTGAGAACTGCGTACAGGACGTTCATCTTTCTCGATTAACTTGTACTTGGGCAAAATTAGATGCATTACCAAAGCTCTGTACATCTCATGTTGGAATAAACTGTTCCATGGCATAAGAGGCTAATGGTTGATTTTTTCCACGTTTGATTTGCAATATGTAGTCTTGGGGTGGGTGAATTATAGATTTTTGTTCCTTGTTTTTAATGTGCATATTAAAATGTCAATTTAGATGCTCTGCTCTACAGATGGCATTACACAAAGCTGTACATTATTAAGAAGTAGATGTGTTCATAAGCAACCAAGAAGATGTTTTATTCCCCCTCATTATATACAAGGTGCCTTTATGCGTGCCATGATATACAACTGAAGTTTAAATCCATTGTGAAAACAAAGAGTTTCCGATAATTTAAAGATTGTTTCGGTTGGCCGTGTTTCAATTGTGAAAAAGTACTAATGCTTGTGGGATGTGTGTGTGTTTTTTTAAATGAGCTGTCAATAACTGAAAGCTTCCCTGCTGAAAAAGAGCAAACCCAGTTTGACAGGAAAGCATCTCTGGCATCCAACATCACCACTTCACGGATGACTTTGTCCTTCCATAGCAGCTAAAGATGTGTCGTCATCAATCCGCTGCTGGATGAAGACCTCCGCCAAATCGCGACCACCTCTCTCACACAAGTTCTGCCATGAAATAATCCACCCAGCACCCGCGCATGACCTGTCTTCGTTACTCCATCTCCTCAACGGACGTGTCTCGAGGCTTGGCGACGACTCCGTTGTATCTTCTTGGTTCTTTCGGTAAAGTCACGTAGAAGGGAAGTAATAAAATAATAAAAATAAAACATAATAAAATAATTCTCACGACGTTTCGGCCACAACACAAGCAGCCGTCCTCAGGTGAAGACCAGGTCTGTCGAGGCGACATTATTTTATTATGTTTTATTTTTATTATTTTATTACTTCCCTTCTACGTGACTTTACCGAAGGAACCAAGAAGATGAATCCATGCAGTCACGAAAGCTTTAAATCGAGACTCCGTTGTAGTTGAGAATAGGGTTTCCCCTTTTTTCTGGCAACAAAACAGTTGTGTTAAGATGTTAAAACACCAAACTGAAACCTTTTACAAGGAATCATGTCTGCATTAACCACAATACTTGTGGTCAGAATTCAAACAAAAAACATACTCTGATAATATATGCATTGTCTATGAAACTGATTGGTCCACACCAATCCGTTGTATTGCCAATCGGTGATCTTCCCTTTCAGCCATGATGTGTCCTACTAAAGTCCAGTTTTGCTCACAGTTTGACGTTATTAACCTGCATCCTCCATCGTATTTCTATGGTGCATCTGTCCATGCTTTGTGCACTTCCATTTTCGTTTCATATGTTTCTTTACTGACCGTGTTTCATAAGGCATATATCATAACAGGTAGTGTGCAAAGAGTAAATCGGAGATAGATGCTTCGTCTTATTTCCTTGCAAGTAATCGTAGGCCAAGCAAGTCATGAAGTTGCTGCTTCAGTGAGCATACACGTAAACTACCAGGGAAATCAAGAACACCCTTTTTTAATTATCATTGTGTAGTGACTTGGTGCGATTTGTTGACAATGAACGATAACTCTGGGTATTGGTGCGCTCTATAACAGCCAACCATAAAGGGGGCGTAACTGGGCCAAGGGTCAGAGGCAGGGATCAGTCGGGAAGCTCCTGGAACCTGCATGAGAGTTCTAGAAGGGGGGCTTGGCTAGAGGCGGGGCTTGGCCACGCTGAGGAGGATATAAGAGGGAGGTAATCGGAGGTTCGGGGCTGTCGTGGCGGTTCGGGTCCTGGCTGCCGTCGCTGTCTTCGTCGTCTCTTCATCATCGCCCGGCCGTATGGCCGATCCGCTGTACGGTCCCCATCGTCGTCGTCGCTGTATTAGCCAGCTATATAAGACACCGGCGATGTGGCTGTATGAGCGGGTCAGCAATACGTAGCCCAGTGTAAATGTTGCTCAGTGACTCTGCCTGTAAAGTGTGAGAAATAAACAAGGAGCCCTCTACAAGTCGTGTCTTGGAAGTCGCTCGCTACAATTGGATATTACCTTGCTATGGCATTGATTAGAAACATTGACGAACAAAAATTTAGCGAAAGCTGAAAAGTGCACAAAGCACGGAGGAATGCATGCTCTGGATAACATTGAGAAACGGAAAGATTAACACATGGCTTACAGAAAGTATGCATGTTGAAGGCAATTAAAACTTTTAAAAGATCAGTGGGCTCCGGTAAGAGGCGTCGCTTGTAGGGCTGACGGCTGATGGTCAAGACTGATGGAGTGGCAGCCAAGGAATGGGATGCATCTGGGAGTACTATCCATCGAGCACATAGAGTAATGAAATGTGCCATGTTGGCGAGATGTTGACTACCTTGCCTGGTATGGAGGAGGTCGTGAGTTCGATCCTGACCCTTACATCTGTATATTGGGAGTTTGAATGTCTCTCTTCCTGTGGTCGCGTGGATTTTTCTCCGGGTTCTCTGGTTTTTCCTTCCACATTTTTAATCAACATGCGTTTAGAGTATTTGGCTTCTATAAATTTCTGCACAATGAGCCACTTCGTTGAGCTATCATTTGTGACCAGGTCACTTCTAAAAAAGCTATATATACCTTAGTGGGCCTTACCTGGTAAAATTAAACATAATTTTTCATAGTTTTAATACATCTCGTATTTCAAGTGCTATGTGGCTTATTACATCACAGGGGAGGCCGCCATAAAGCAGTGGATTGATCATGGTTGATGATGATGACAGGTTAGCCTTGAGCTCAAGACAAATCGGGTTCAGTTCATTTATTTTAAAATATGTTCAAACAGAGTTCTATTGACATTGATGCATGTGTAGTGAGCGACTTCCAATACACGTCAAGTAGAAGGCTTCTTATTTATTAAGAGCACACTGGGCGATACACTGTGTAACGCAGCTACACATAGGCAATCTCCGGCTTCGCTATGTAAGCTGTTCGACCAGCACAGCGACGAAGAGAGTCTTCCAGAAGATCAGCCACGTGATCGGAGATGAAGAGGTGATGACGAGCAGCGATGCAGCCAGAACCCAGGACCCGCAACAGTACCGAACCTCTGGTTAGATCCTCCTTATATCTGCCCCGACGTGGCCAAGCTCCACCTCTGGCCCCGCCTTCTTTCCAGAACCTTCCAGCTGGTTCCGGGAGCTTCTCGACTGACTCCGCCCTTCACCTTTACCCCAGATACGCCCCCCTTATAATAAGGCATTATGTAACGCAGCCATGACCATAATTACCACCCCTGGCCGACAGATGTCACCCTATCATTACACATGCATGAATGATTTTTTAATGAATATATAACTTTTTTTATTGCAGGTCTAATCTTTGAACATTCATCAATCATTCAGGATTTTTGGTCGAGTTTTGTAAATTATGGGTTTCAGTTGCCGACACTGGAAGAAGAAATTATACATGTTAATAATGATAATAGATTGAATATTATACCTCCTATAATCACCCAAGAATGTCTGTCCTTAACGCTCGTCACGTCACTCCACATCGACCAGCCTCCCTCATTAATATTCATGAACAGGTGACGTCATTCAAATGGACACCCCCCCTCCCATTATGATTAGCTACTATAATGAGCCAAGGATGTCTGTGTGCAACGCTCGTGACGTCACTCCACGTCGACGAGCCCCCCACAATAATCATGAACATGTTACATCCTCCACATACACCCCCCCCCTCATTAATAATCATGAGCGGGTGACGTCACTCCACATCGAACAGCCTCCCTCATTAATAATCGTTAACAGGTGACGTCCTCCAAATGGACACCCCCCCCCCCCACATTCATAATAATTAGCGGCTGACGTCACTCCACATGGGGTGGGGGGCGAGGCGCCTCCTCCCCCCTCCTCGGCATAAACTCACAACCCTCACTACAAAGGCAGAACCCTCACGTCACGCGAACTCCGTAACGCTGTTGAGACATCAAAGTAAAAAGGACGTCATGATGAAATAAGTCTGTGTCACCGCGCCCTTACAAACTGCACACACATTAATGCAATGAATATCACATCCCGGTCTGCTTTTCG